GTTTTATAAATACTTGCAGATCTTGGGGTCACCCAGAGTTTACCCAAACCTCCGGACACAAGCGCCTCCAGCGTGATGGAAGTGTGGGATGCTGCTGAGTGCCAAGAAAAGCTTTCTCCTCTCAAAAATATGAGTTGAGAGATCTCATCATGGGTGTGATTGACACTCACAACTTCCAAAAAAACCCTAAAAATACAGAGTGCCGGCTAATAAAAGAAACAGGCGCTGAGCAATGACTTCTGGCTCTCTGTGAGGGCGAGGACTACAAAGGAATGGGAGCTCTTGTGGACTAAAGGGGCAAAGCATCACCCCCATGTCCTTGGCCAAAGCAACCCCACAGCAGCAGCAGCTGTGGGAAACAGGGAAATGAAATCAGGGGGTTGTGGGGAGACTGGGACATGGGTACATCTCTGCTGTGTGCTAAGTGAGGGAGCAGGAGCTGGAGAACATCATGGGATAATCAGGAATTAAGATGTAAGTGGTGGAGATATCACTTCTGGCCACCCACGGAGTCATGTAGCCATGACTCATCCCCTGGCGCAGGAAGGAACGTAGCGTACCGTGCATCAAAATGGACAGGATCTTTCCAAGGAGAGATGATCTGGGATGGAAGACCTTTAAAGGGCTTCCATCCCAGCTGTTTATCCCTCCACACTGGTATGCCTTTTCCTTGATAAAATCAGGAAGTGATGTGTTAAATGAGTTACTTCTTTATTTCAGTCTCCGATACTCCTACTGGAAAGATCTTCCGATTTCCAGGCTAAAAATATTCATGGCCAGTTCCTACTCATTTACTTTTCCACCGTTGCCCTTCAGTGTCCCAACGCCTTTCCCTCCGCTCACATTTATTTTCCAGGATGTATTTATAGGCAGGAAAACATATTCCTTCTCCAGCCTCATTTTTTAGCTAAACTAAACAAGCCAAATTCTTTCAGTCCACAGGAGAAAAGACAGATTGTCCTGAGCTCTGATCAACACCTAGCTCTTCCCTGCAGCTGGAATTCACCCTTCCTGGGCTGGGCACAGGTGGCCACAGCTGCACCAAGGAGTTTGGGGGCAGTGCCAGCAGGGTATTGTCATTGTGTCATCCCTTGCCCAAGCAGCTGCTTCTTTTACTCCACGTGCCAATGCTGAAATCCTCAACTGCTGCCTTCTCACACCCGAATGTCTCATCAAACAAGTTTGGGTTGGTTTTGTATCAAAACAGATGACTCGTCTGCCCCCTTACTGGTTCACCTACACTTCTATATAAGATTAAATAGTTTGTTTACTTCTCTGTTGTCTTGGCTTTTGGGGGATTTTTTTTTAATCTTTTTAATCATATGTAGCAAATCTGCCACAGAGAAAAGTTTGAAGGAATGAGGGATGCTTCCATTTATATCTCCTTATACTGCAAATCAGAAGCTGAAGCTTAATCTGGGTGCTTCTCACCCAAAAATATGGGTTCCAGAGTCCTTATTTCTTACTGCTGTGAGAATTAATAGCCATATTTAGGTTTGAAAGTATCTATCAGGAGAGGGAGTTAAAGTTATATATATATATTTATATTTATACATGTCTTATGCACATGAAGTAATTTGGTCGAGGGCTGGTTTTGCTCTTATTTATTTCCATATTCTTATAATAGCTGAAGTTAGCAGAAAATAAGGGAATATCTTCAACTTTTGAATGTGTTATGATGGGGATCTGTGGGATCCTGTTTTGTCTGATCCCACTAAATAATATTATACATAATAGCAGTTTTCTCCCTTTGGGGAACTTTGGGCCAGAGTTTCACTCCAAGTGAAATTTGTCCACATCCAGGTGTGCATCAGGTGCATTCATGTGGATCATGCCCAAAGCTTTTCTTTCTGCTCCCTTTCTTCTGTTTCTCTGCTACAGGAGGATCCAACCATTTAAAAACCAGCAGCATTTTTTTCAGACTTCACAAAACTTTTCAGTTCTTTTGACATCACCCAGAAACACAAAATACACCCTTCCTTCCATGTATTAAACAGGCAGATAGCCTGTTTAATACATGGAAGTTCTCCCACTTTTTCTTCAAGATTAATTTTTCCTCCCTGAAAAAAACATTTTATCTGCACTTCATCACATTTTTCTACCTTCTTGGAGCTATTTCTTTTTTCTCCATGTTGCAATTTAGACTTTGCATAGCAGCAACTTTTTCAGCCAGTTCTGGAGTCCTGACATTCTCAGCCCTGACATTCTGATACAGTTTAAAGGGGAAAAAAAAGGGAGAAAGGGTAGAATTCAAACTCCCACAGAAAGAGGCAGAAACAAGCACTGGAGAAGGAGCATCTGGAAGGAGTCTTCTTATTGCATGGTGAGAAAAAAAAAAAAACACATGGAAAAGAGAAGAGATTGTTACCTACAGAGGACAGCACAAGACAGCTCAGAAAAGATGGATATGATGAATGAACAGATGTGTAACATGGAACTGGGGGCAAAGGACCTGGAATGTGGCTTTGCCAGACTTCCAGTGGGTCCTTTAATAAAACAGCTGCCTGGGGTGCAGTTCAGCTCCAGGCAGATCCCAAAAACAGAGAAGGGAGCTGCTTCCTCAGCCTGCCAGAGGTTTCTCCAGCACAAAGCTGAGCCCTTCAAGAGTCTGCCTGACTCTGTAAGTACAGGGTGGGAAAAGCAGTGTCCCCCAAAGTGGGTAAGGGAATGACAAAGAGCAGAGGAGGGGATGGAAAATCCCTGTGTTAGAGAGAGAAGGACAGGAAGACACCAAGGTGGGGGATTTGAGAAGGCAATAAGGTGGTATCAGGTCAGGGTGCCAAGGTGTGCTTGGAGAGAGCTGTTATCAACGGAGAAAGAATCCCAGAAAGGTTTGGGTTGGAAGAGACCTTAAAACTCATCCAGTGCCACCCACTGCCATGGGCAGGGGCACCTTCCACTATCCCAGGTTGTTCCAAGTCCATTGAACCTGGCTTTGAACTTCCCCAGGGATGGGGAAGCCACAGCTCCACCACCCTCTGAGTACAAGAGAGGGGTGGGATGGGGTGGGACAGGAGCCCCCCCCTTCCCCAGCACAACCATGGGAAGAGAAAAGGCAAAAAGAAACCCACAGGAGGTCCCAGATCTGCCAAGGACCTGGGAGCTGCTGGAGGTGGGAAGGTGGAAAGCAGCCTGACTGAGGATGAACTGAGTGGTGATCCTGGGATGTGAGGTTGAGCAGGGACAGGGCAGTTTACACTGGACTGGGGAGCTGATTTGGGAGCAGGATGGGGTCAGCATAAGGGGGTCCACCTGAGGGTGGTCTGGGGAGTGGTAGTGTCAGCACTTGGGCCTTGGGGGAAGAAGCACAATGGAACTTTTTAAGTGTTCAGAGCAGAGCCAGGAAGAGGGTGAAGGGTCTCAGGGGCCACTTGAGAAACAAATTATGCCATTGGGTTTGTTCAGCTGGAGGAGACAGAGGTCAAACCTCGCTGGGGGCTGCAGCTCCTCTGAGGGGCAGCTCTAATCTCTGCTCCCAGTGACAGAGACAGGACCCAGGGAATGGCTGGAGCTGTGTCAGGAAGACTTAGGTTGGGTATCAGGGAAAGGTTCTTCCCCAGAGGGTGTTGGGCACTGAGCAGGCACCTCAGGGAATGGGCACAGCCCCAAGGCTGCCAGAGCTCCAGGAGCCTTTGGAAAATGCTCTCAGGAACAGGATGGGATAGCTGGGGTGTCCTGTGCAAGGTCAGGGGTTGGACAGCTGTGTCCCTTCCAAATCAGACTATTCTATGATTCAGTGTAGATTTTGTGATTTCAAGATCACTAAGGAGATGGAACACCTCTCCTACGAGGAAAGGCTGAGAGAACTGAGGTTGTTCAGCATGGAGAAGACAGCCCTGGGGAGATCTTAGAGCCCAGGTCTTACATGTGTGGAGAGGAGGTTCAGGTTGGACATTAGGAGGAATTTCTTCACAAAAGGGGTGATTAGACATTGAAACAGGCTGCCCAGTGAGGTTGTGGAGTCACCATTCCTGGAGCTGTTCAAGGAATGACTGGACCTGACACTCAGTGCTCTGCTGTGGATGACAAGGTGGTGTTTGGTCATAGGGTGGACTCGATGATTTCAGACGTGTTTTCCAACCTAAATGATTTTGTGATTCTGTGAAGAGATCTCAAGTTGTACCAGGTTTAGATTGGATATTCGGAAAAAAATTCTTCATGGAAAGAGTGGTCAGGCAATGGAACAGGTTACCTAAGGCAACCTGACGGTGGAATCCCCATCCCTGGAGGTTTTCAAAACGTGTAGATGTAGAGCTTGGGGATACAATTTAGGCATGATCATATCCATGGGTTACCAGCTGGACTCGGTGATGCCAGAGGTCTTTTCCAACCTAATTCTGTAAGGGAGCTCCAAGAAAGCTGGAGAGGGATGTTGGACAAGGGCATGGAGTGACAGAACAAAGGGGAATAGTTTTAAACTGAAAAAGGGCAAGGCTAGAAGGGATTTTAGGAAGAAAATTTTCCCTGTGAGGGCATAGAGACCTGTGAGGGCAGAGGTTGTCCAGGTAATCACAGAATAAGCTGAGCTGGAAGGAACCCACAAGGATCATCCAGTCCAGCTCCTGGGCATCCCCAACAATCCCACCCTGTGCCTGAGAGCGCTGTCCAAGTGCTCTTTGAGCTCTGTCAGGTTTGGTGCTGTGACCATTCCCTGAGGAGCTATTCCAGCGCCCAGTTACCCTCTGGGATTAGAACCTTTTCCCAGTATCCACCCTAACCTTCCCCCGACACAACTCCAGGCCATTCCCTCGGCTCCTGTCCCAGGTCAGCACCGAGCAGAGCCCTGCGCCTGCTCCTCCTCTCCCCCTCACGAGCAAGTCGCACATCGCGGGGAGGTCCCCCCTCAGCTTCCCCTTCTCCAGGCCTCATCCCTGTCACTTCCCCGGGCCAGGTCGGACGGGGCACGGAGCATCCCGCCGCGGTGGTCGCTGTCCGTACCGGCGGCACGGGGTGTGGAGGGCGCCGCTCCCTGCCGTCCGCGCCGGCCCCGCCGCGCCAAGATGGCGGCCAAGTCGGATGGCGGCGGCGGCGGCGGCGGCGGCGGCAGCGGCTTCGCCCAGCTGCACAACCTGGACGAGGCGGCGGCGGCCACGGGCGGCGGCGTCGGGGCAGCGGCGGCCGAGGTGGCGGAGGAGCCGGGCGCAAGCAGCTCCTTGCACATCTGCCACTGCTGCAACACGTCGTCTTGCTACTGGGGCTGCCGGAGCGCCTGCCTGCGGACCCTCTTCGGGCGGGCCGCCGCCACCGCCGCCGCCGAGCCCCCGCCGCCGCCGCCGAAGGGCCGCCGGAGGGCGGCGAGGCGGCCGAGCGGCCGTGGCTGGACTGCCTGTGGATCGTGCTGGCGCTGCTGGTGCTGCTGGGGGATGTGGGCACGGACCTGTGGCTGGCGCTGCACCACTACGGCCGGCGGGACTACTTGTGGTGCGGCCTCACCCTGGCCTTCGTGCTGCTGCCCTCGGTGCTGGTGCAGATCCTGAGCTTCCGCTGGTTCGTGCAGGACTACACGGGCGGCGGGCTGGGCGCCGTGCAGGGGCTCAGCAGCCGCGGGCCGCCCATGATGGGGGGGACCGCGGGCCGGCGTGGGGGACCCGCCGGCGGGGTAGGAGGAGCCGGCGGCACCGCCACCCCCGGGGCGCAGCGCCTCTGCAGGATCTCCGTCTGGGTCTGGCAGTCCGTCATCCACCTGCTGCAGATGGGGCAGGTCTGGAGGTAAGGGGCGGCCGGGGACTCCGCCGTGCCCCCGGCGGGGCGGGCGGCGCGCTGGGTCGGGGAGCGCGGCTGCGGAGGGGCGGGAGAGCGGGGACTGCGAGCGCCCGGTGCGAGGGGGACGTGCGGCAGCGTCAGCCCCTGGTCCGAGGGGGATGTGAGGCACTGTCACCTCCTGGTTTGAGATGGACGGGGACAGTGTCACCTGCTTGAGGTGGACGGGGACAGTGTCACCTCGTGGTCCAAGGTGGACGTGGGTCAGTGTGCGCTGGCCGAGGAGGGGCTGCTGTCGTTGTCAGCACCTGGTCTGAGGCGGATGTGGGTGACTGTGAGCTCGTGGTCCAAGATGGGCATGGGTCAGTGTCACCCTCTGGTTTAAAATGGGTCACTGTCCCCTGGATGAGGTGGACAGCTCTCAACTCGTGGTCTAAGGTGGACGTGGGTCAGTGTCATCTCCTGATCTGAGGTGGATCAGTGTCATCTCATGGTTTGATGTGGGTTAGTGTCCCCTAGACAAGGTGGGGCAGATGGGGGTCACGCCGATAGGCTGAGGTGGGTCACTGTCCCCTAGCTGAGGTGGACCAGATGGCCATTGCTGTTGCCTCATGGTTTGAGGCAGACATGGGGCAGTGTCATCTCACGGCTTGAGGTGGATTGCTGTCCCCTAGCTGAGGTGGGACCGATGGGAGTCAGTGTCACCTCATGATATGGGGTGGACATAGGTCACTGTCCCTGGCTGAGGTAGGGCAGATGGGGGTTGTTGTCAGCTTGTGGTCTGAGATGGACATGGCTCAGTGTCACCTCATGGTCTGCGGTGGTGGTGGTCAGTGCAGTGCTCCCCACGTGGAGAAGGAGGGGAGATTTGGGGGTTACTCCGACTTTGAGTGAGGAGAGACCCAAAGGGAGGGGCGATTCCCACAAAATGAGCCTGGGGGGCTGAGGTGGGGGACATGGGGGTCATTGTCACCTCATGGTCTGGGGTGCCAGTGCTCTCCACGATGGAGGAGGTGTCAAGGTCCCCCTTGTGCTGAGGGGACATTTGAGGGGAAGAGAAATTCCCCCAAAATATGTCTGTGGGGCTGAGGTGGGAGGAGTGGCGTTGGTTGGTACAAGCAGGACATGAGATGGTGCTCCCCATGTGGAGATTTGGGGTGACCCCTTCTTCACTGAGAAGAGCCCCAAAGGGAGCACAGATACCCCCCCCCAAAATGAGCATGTGGGGCTGAGGAGAGAGGAATAGGGCTGCTGTCACCTCACAGCTTGGAGGGGACACAGTTCTGTGCCCCCCATGGTGTGGGATGGAAGGGATTCGAGCTCCGTGGGAATGAGATGGTTGTCCACAGACATGGGGCAGGACTGGGAGGGGGGTCATGGAGCTGCTCTTCCCTTCAGGACAGGCCCGGGCTTGGGGGTGACCCTGGCAGTGGCAGTGCTGCAGAGGGAGGTCCTGTGTCCCTGGAGGGGACTCACCCCATCACCCCCCTCCTGGAGCCAGGGGGCAGCCAGGAAAAGACCCCATGGAATGCAGGGGCTGCTCCAGAGAGGGTCTGCGGGGGGATGGACCCGTGGCTGCCAAGCACTGGGATGTGTTAGTTCCAGAGGGTTCATGTCCTCCTGGCACAGATCCCACAGGAATGAGGGGTGAGGGTCTCATCCATCCCCGAGAGCCTCTCCCCAGCCAGTGGAGCGGGAGCTGCTGGCTCGCTGACTCCCCGTGAACCGAAGGAGCGGGTGGTGGGAGCGGAAAAACGCAGCGTGATGCCTCGGCTGTGGCTTTGGAGAAAGGAGAAGCCTCCTCGGTGGGGACGGCGGCGGTGGGGCTGCCGGTGTGAGCCTGAAGGTCAGGGATAAGGGACTCTTCCCTGCCGGAGGGAGAGGTCCTGGGGTGGAGGAGACACTGGCCAGAGGACGAGTCTGGGAAGTGACCTCGGGCTCGGCAGGAATAAAAAAGCATCCTCCAGTGCGAGCTGGAAATTACGTTATCCTTCCCAAAAAGAGAGGTGGGAGGAGGCAGGGAGGGATTCTCCAGGATGAAAGCCTGTGGATGCAAACACTGCCACAGAGATGGCTTACGGAAAGAGGTGGTGTAAGGACAGCTGTAAAAACCCGGCATGGCCCAGCATCCTCTGAGCTGGGGCGCGGGTTGGTAACGTGGAAGGGGTGTGAGATTTGGGGTGGGGGTAGAGGGACAACTCTGGGTTGTGTCACAGGGTTGTGGCTGCAATCCCTCTGCACCATGGATGGGTCAGGCTGTAGAGAAAAGGCTCCAGATGGGGACAGCATCCAGATGGGGGTCGCTTGGCGTTTGTAGCTTTTAAAATAATCCTTAGGGATCAAAGATTTTTATTTTCCCAATTTTTTTTGAAGAAGCCGCGGGGGTGGAGGGGAGGGGATCTGCGTGGGAAGGGTGCGTGAGATGTGTACGTAGGAAATAAGCCCATGCAATCATGCAGTGCAACAGCAAATACATATTTCTTCTGCATCTTCAATGTCATTTTGCAGCGTTCAAAGCACATTTGTTCTCAACTTCTGCTTGGGGGTTTATTCTATTTTTAAGGGCTTTTTGTGGCTGGGATTTGGGCTGGGGGGTGGCGGGAGGGGGATGTCTGTGGGTGGTGCGTGCGAGGATGATGAATTGGTCCACGACCCTTTCTGCTGCTTCCCTTGGTACTCCCAAGTGCTGATCCCATCAGCAAAAGCGGTTCTCAATGCAGATCCTCCTCTGGCAAGTTGGATTTTTCCTTTCTTGGAGTCAGGCAGAAGAAATGATTGTGTTTTAGCTGTGCACAAACACTCCATGCCATGGCACGCTTGAGTGAGCACATGGGGAGGGGGATGCTGAAGTGATGCCGGCAGGGGCAGAGGGGGTGCATGTAGGGGGCTGATTTTTGTGTAATAGGAAGAAACAAAGCTTAAGTTGCCCAGACTTCTCCCTGCTATGCTAATGCAGAGGAAAAACATTTGCTTCTGAGATTGTGCAGGGCTGGGAATGCCAAAGGGGACTGATAAGGAGTGCTGCAGCCTGGATCATGTTAGGTGAAATCAGGAAGCTTTCTCTCCTGTTGATCTCTAATCCCACCAGCACCCAGCTCCCTCTCTTTAAGGCACACTCGACAACGTGGAGCCGACTCCCAATATCTGACCAGAGCCAGAATTAACTTCCTGGGATCTGTGGAGCAGCCTCCACGAGGGTGTCTTTTTGCATTCCCACTACAGCTATTGCCAACGCCATTAAAATTAATCTCGGATGTGGTGATGAGAGTAATACTGGAACGCACTGGTTTGGCCGCCTTTGCCTGCAGCGCAATCGCTGCGTGCTGGGGAGAAGTTTAGACGTGGGGATGGAGGAGGAAAACCTAGGACAGCGTAAGTTCAGTGCGTAATGCTCCGAGCCTGCTTTCCCGTGGGATCACGGATCCGTGCTGCCGCTGCATGGAGCATAATTGGGATCGTACCTTACGTAGGGGATGTCGTGGGTGTTGCTCAGCAGCTGGGAGCGAAACCGTGGAGAATTGGAGGGGGGCAGGTTGGAGTAGTGCAGGAATTCTCATCCTGAATACGTTAGGTAAATCTACGTTTGGATTTTGAGGGATGACACAATTCCTGTGGCGGCTTCTTCTCGTAAATACTGGGAAGACTCACCAATAAGATGGTGAATAAATAGCATTTTATGGCAGAAATATAAATATACATCGGGATCTTATTTTAGCAAGGCTGTCTCTTCATTTTGTCAGGATTGTGGGAGAAGGAGCTTGTTTTGGAGCAGTCTGGATGGAGGCTTTGTCTGTTTGTGTTGTATTCAGAGGGTGGATCGTGACCAGGCAGGAGGGTTGAGGGGGCAGTGCGAGTGCTGAGGGGGTACTTAGTGATATTCCTGGGGTTTTTGTGTTTTTTTTAGTTCAGCTGGGATCTGAAGGATGTGTTAATACTGTCTGTCTGTAGTGGCTGTTGGAAAAATAGTAAAAACATATGTGTGTGTACAGATACATATATTTTGAATTCTTGCTGGAAGTAGTCTGATCTCCAATGCCATTCTTACCAATAAAGCTAAGCTCCTGGGGTTTTTACCTTCATAAACATACAATATTCCCCTTTCCTCTCAAATCTTAGATTGTCTTGAGGACTTGAACAATTCATCCAGACTATCCAAAAAGTGAAGGATGCCAGTTGGAGCACATTATGCTCATTATAGAGGTGCTGCAGTGCAAGCTGCCAAGGGCTGTTCCTTGAGGAGGGATGCTGTGGTTTTGCTGGAAACAGGGTGAAGACAGGGCTGTTGCTTTTGCTGGAGCTGTTCAGCCGGGTAAATTCAGGAGAAGTAAAAGTTTTGGTATCTTGAGTACTTGCACAGGTTGTATGAATGACAGGAGCGAACTTCCCTGTCTGATGTACCTTTCCTTAACCTCTGCTGGAAGTGGGTTACTGGGTCATGGATGCTGCCCTGGAATAGGGGGTTTAGAGTGGAAAGTCCGATCCCTTGCGTTGCGCCGTGCTATTAAAGCAAACATTATTGGATTCCGTTGGATTAACGGGATATGGAGCTGAGCTAAAATGAATGCTGACCAGCTGGAAATCTCTCTGTGTCTGTTAAACTATCAGTCATGGTGAGTTTTGGGACATGAATGTGCTCTGTTTATGGGGTTTGTTATTAAAACAGATTTGAATACAGATCTAGGAGAAAAACATTCTGTACAAGAAACCCCAGCAAACCACAACAACCCTTGTCACTGTTGTGACATTAAAAATTATCTCGTGTATGTACATGGTGAGAAATTCCTAACATTTAGGCAGAGAGTTGGCATCTTTTTTATTAGTGGAAAGACCAAATCTATGAGCTGTTCATCTTTGGAGGTGGAAGGATGAATCAATGGGTTTAAATGGAATATGTGGCATTTAATGACTTTGTGTTGAGTGGGTTCAGACTCCCCTGAAATACTTTGTCTGGGATGAACTTTGTGAGTTGGAGACACATTATTTTGGATAGTTTAGAAATACAGGCAGCT